ATTTATTTATTTATATATTATTTTTTTTTTTTTTTTTTATATATGTATGTGTTTCATTTTCCTTTTAGTTAAGGTTTTAATTTATTTTTTTATTTTTTTTTTGTATTATTTACCATTAGCTATTTTTATAAATTATTACAAATTTATAAAAAAAATTATTTTTATAATATAGTTTTTACTCACTACTCAGGCCTACTTCAAGACTAAACTAAATGAAAATGAGAAACGTTGCCTTGGCAGCTGGCTGAAATAAAATATTTGTTTTTATTCATTTAACATATTTATTTTTTCCCGAGTACCGAACATGTTAATTTTAATGCTGTTGTCATTCTCCCCTTTAATGCCATGGTACAAGACCTACAGTCTCCTAATAAGACTTAGCATGTGATTTCCGGAACGGACCGTTTCATAAGTCGGATATTAAAAGTCTGCATGTTGTGTTTCCCGCAGGGGCTGATAGTGAGCTCCAGCGTCGCTCATCCTCTGAGGTGGAGCTAAGATGAGCATTACCAGTGATGAAGTCAACTTTCTGGTCTACAGATATCTGCAGGAGTCAGGTAAACCCCCACAAAACCACCCCAGGCATCGAGATGAGCTCAGATCCTCAGTCACACATTTACTCACGGGTTGAAATAAAGCGACGGTTCGTTGATGGAAAGCCCTTGTGCTGCAGGTTTCTCTCACTCGGCGTTCACGTTTGGCATCGAGAGCCACATCAGTCAGTCGAACATCAACGGGACTCTGGTGCCTCCCGCGGCCCTCATCTCCATCCTGCAGAAAGGCCTTCAGTACGTGGAGGCCGAGATCAGCATCAACGAGGTGAACATCTTCATCATCTTCATCATCAACCATCCCAATGATTCTAGTCAAGTCCTTCAACTCTTTGATTTATCTGCATCTGTGCATGAGTAACTTTCACCTGCTGTGAGTCATAAAAAATAAATAATTAAAAAATAATTCAATTAGTGCCGTCAAACAATTTATCGCGAATAATTGCATCCAAAATAAATGTTTTTGTTTACATAATGTGTGTGCGCTGTGTATATTTATTATGCATATAAATACACACACACACACATGCATATTTAAGAAAAATTTTATGTCTATGTATTAAATATATTTATATAATAAATTATATGAATATAAATATATGCATGTAAATATTTTCAAAATATATACTGTATGTGTGTGTACATAATAAATATACACCGTACGCATACATTTATTATTATTATAAAATTATTATTTTTATATTTAAGAAAAATTTTATGTCTATGTATTAAATATATTTATATAATAAATTATATGAATATAAATATATGCATGTAAATATTTTCAAAATATATACTGTATGTGTGCGTACATAATAAATATACACCGTACGCATACATTTATTATTATTATTATTATTTTTTATATATATATATATATTTTAGTTTAGTTAACCTTTTTATTTCAGGTAACATTTTTTTTCTTCATTTTTTTTACGGTTTTAGTTTACTATAATAACCTTGGTCTGAACCTTTGGTTTACATTGATATAAAAAACATTATAATTTGATCTAAAGGCTTAAATGCTTGAAATGATCAATACATTTTTAAAACGTTTGTCAAAACATAAACATAAAACTATTAATTAAATAATACAGTTAATACTATCATTAATAACATTTTAAAGTCATGGAAATTTTTATAAAGAAAATAAATTTTTCTAGTAATGCCGAACTCTATATTTTGAGCAATTTTACTAAAATGTTTTGAGCAAAAATGGCATTTGTATGTTTTATTTCATTTTAAAATGACCACAAACAAATGCAAATGTCGTAAATTCATTATTGAACCGTGAAGAAATCCAAACCCTTCCCACAGGATGTTTTTGCTCTAGATTTTGCTTCGTGTCACTTTAGCTTGTGTTTGATGGTGATATTGTCTCTGAACGTTTCAGGATGGCACAGTGTTTGACGGCCGGCCGATAGAGTCTCTGTCGCTCGTCGATGCTGTGATGCCAGACGTGGTTCACACCAGACAGCAGGCCTTCAGAGACCAACTCGCTCTGCAGCAGCAGCAGCAAGCCAACAGCTCCAGCAACTCAAGCGCGGCTCAGTCCTTCGCCACCAAGAACGGAGAAACCGCGGTCAACGGAGAGGAGCTCGGCACCCACATGCTCCGTAAGTAATTTAACTGACAGGTGTAACAGGCCAGAAACATGCTTTACATGAGTACAGATGCGAATGCTTAGCTAATGGAGCCATGGGTTTGATTCCCAGGGAAAAATACATTAACTATGTAGTTTGAATGCACTTTAAGTAACTTTAATAAAGGCATTGACCAAATACATACACTACCAGTCAAAAGATTTTGAACTGTAAGATTTTTAATGTTTTTAATAGTGCTGTGAAACGATTAATCGCGATTAATCGCATCCAAAATAAAAGTTTCTGTTTACATAATATATGTGTGTGTACTGTGTACATTTATTATGTAAATACAAACACATGCATGTATACATTTAAGACAAATATGCTGTTTATGTATAAAATATATTTATATATAATATAAATGTATATACATGTAAATAATATATTTAAGAAAAATATGCTGTTTATATTTTATATATATAATAATATACATGTAAATATTTTCAAAATATATACTGCACGTGTGTGTGTGTATTTATATATACATAATAAATAAACACAGTACACATACATATAGTATGTAAACAAAAACTTTTATTTTGGATTAATTGCGATTAATCGTTTGACAGCACTAGTTTGTAAAGCAGTCACCAAGCCTGCATTTATTTGATCCAAAACAGTAACATTTTTAAATATTTTTACCATTTAAAATTACTGCTTTCTTTTTGAATATATTTTAAACTGTAATTTATTCCTGTGATTTCAAAGCTGAATTTTTAGCATCATTACTCCAGTATGCTGATTTGCTGCAAAAAACATGTATTATTATTACGTTGAAAACAGCAGAGTAGAATTTTTTCAGGTTTCTTTGATGAATAAAAAGTTCAGAAGAACACCACACAGAATATGAGAACACAGCAAAATATCATCTTTCACTATTGGCAAAATCTTAAAGGAGACATATTATGCCCCTTTTTACAATATGTAATATAAGTCTCTGGTGAATGTGTCTGTGAAGTTTCAGATGTGTCTGTAAAGTTTCAGCTCAAAATACTCCACAGATCATTTATAATATAATTTTGAAAATGCCTATTTTGAGTGGAAGCAGAAACACGCTGTTTTTTCGGGCCTGTCTCTTTAAAAGCAAATGAGCTGCTGCTCCCCGCCCCCTTTTCCAGAGTAGAGTTGCGCCATTACAGCTCGGACCTGCTAAAAACATCTGTTTTGGTTCTGATTATCATGTTTATCGCGCTGAGATCATGAGTTTTAAACCATATGAGTTTAAACTTCTGATGTAGGGTTTTCTGAGCGCACACATCTGAAGCACACGCACAGAAAGCGGCTGTCACAGCATGTGAGCACTAAACTAAGTTCTCACACACACACACACGTTTACGTTAAAAACACACGAGTTACAAAAACAGTGGGTTATGTCTGTGAAGGTAAACAGCTGGGAAATAAATCATGTTTATTTTAGATCTGTGTGGCAGCAGCAATATACAGTAAATAAATCAATAAATCCACTGCTCTGTCGTCTCCTCTGAGGCTGGGACTCTAAACAGTGTTCTGTGCTCGTCTGTGCAGCCAAACACAGATCAGTTAGCGTGTTTTGCTCAAACTTTCATCATGGCATTAGAGCTGCTACACCGCTGTCGCTTGTGAAAACACAATAACGGCGCTGTGGGTGTAAACTTACAGATTAAGGGGCGTTAATATTATAATGAGATCCCTTCGCCACGTCACCAAGAGAGAGATCAGACGCGCTGGTTTTCTCAGACGCTTGCATTAAAAGGCTTCCCAAAACAAAGTTACTGGGTTAATCTTTTTCACGTTTGCATGGTTGGTAGATGCACCGGGGACCTGATTATAGCACTTAACACCTGGAAAAGTCAGATTTTCATGATATGCCACCTTTAAGGTATTGAGAGATATGTTTGTCAGTTTCACACACGGTGTGATTGTAATCTGCTTCTCCTCTCTCAGATAATCATTTGGAGGCGATGGAGATGGACGACGAGGTCCAGATTCCCGCCACGGTGTTGAGAGGTCACGAGTCGGAGGTCTTCATCTGCGCCTGGAACCCCGTCACTGACCTCTTGGCCTCAGGGTGAGTCCATCTGACCTCTGACCTCAAGGGACGGAGCTGAAGGATTTTTGACGCCGTGATGAGTTTGTACAACCCGCACTGGAACGGCTCTGTGAAATGACTTGAATTGCGTCAAATGTTTTTCTAAAATTAAACCAGTCATAAGGGTCAATTTTGTGAAATTGAGATTTATGCATCATCTGAAAGCTGAATAAATAAGCTTTCCATTGATGTAAGGTTTGTTAGGATCGGACAATATTTGGCTGAGATACAACTATCTGGAATCTGAGGGAGCAAAAAAATCTACATATTGAGAATATATGTAATATATAATCTTAGCAATGCATATTACTAATCACAAATTAAATTTTCATATATTTACGGTAGGAGATTTACAAAATATCTTCATGGAACATGATCTCTACTTAATATCCTAATGATTTTTGGCATAAAAGAAAAATCTATAATTGTGACCCATACAATGTATTGTTGGCTATTGCTACAAATATCCCCCAGCGACTTAACACTGCCTTTGTGCTGCAGGCTCACATTTACTATTTTTATTGATTTCATATTTTATATATTTATATATATATTTAATATTGTACTATTTTATTTAAAAGCAGCATTTTAAGTGCATTATATTTAAATGTTGGTTCATAATTCATAATATAAAAAAGTATCAATAAAAATGAATTAAATCAAGGTAAGACACTACAGGCAGGACACTATTTGGTTTCACAATAGTGTAAAGAAAACGGCCCAAATACACATTTAAATGTTTATTTTATTGCACTGTATATTTGTGTGTGTTTATGCAAAAAATAGTGCATATTTAATTAGATCTGAAAATTAAAGTTTCAGAAAAGTTGTGATACAAAAAAGTTTGCGATTCGTAATGCAACCAATCAACTGGGGAACTGTGGTGATGTCTATTAATTATATTTTTTACACCTTGTGTGTCTTGCCTAAAAAGTGTATTGCATTAATTGTGTTGCTCATGTGGCAGCTCTGGCGACTCGACGGCACGCATATGGAACCTGATTGAGAACAGCAGCGGCGGCTCGACTCAGCTGGTCCTGCGGCACTGCATCCGAGAGGGAGGTCAGGACGTTCCCAGCAACAAAGACGTGACCTCGCTAGACTGGAACGTGAGTCGCTGTTAATCGTTCAGAGCCGCGGTGCTCAGCTAGGGGCCGCAAAACGCTAATAAAGCAATGAGCCCAAGAAGCCGGGGTTTACAGTGAATTTATAACAGCTAAGGGGCGTTATTAAGCACGACGCAAACCCCCTTAGCTGTTATAAATTCACTGTAAATCGAATATTTGTCGAATTTAAAATAAAAATCCACATTCGAATGCAAAAACGTTGCATGATGTAAGTGTCGTTGCATTTTAATGTTTTTCGTAGCTTATCCAGTTGAAGCCACTGGATGCGGCGCTGCTACGTTGTTCATTAAAAATATTGCGGAAAAAGAGAACATCAATGCGGAGATGATGTTGTTTTGCATCAAAACTGAAACCAAGCCGTTCTCACAGAACGCATATTTATCGCATTTTCTAAAGGGACATCTGTCACCTTTACACTCTCGTATCGCACATGTTTAAATCCACATTCGAATGCAAAAACGTTGCATGATGTAAGTGTCGTTGCATTTTAATGTTTTTCGTAGCTTATCCAGTTGAAGCCACTGGATGCGGCGCTGCTACGTTGTTCATTAAAAATATTGCGGAAAAAGAGAACATCAATGCGGAGATGATGTTGTTTTGCATCAAAACTGAAACCAAGCCGTTCTCACAGAACGCATATTTATCGCATTTTCTAAAGGGACATCTGTCACCTTTACACTCTCGTATCGCACATGTTTAGAAAGCCATGTAAAATTAATGCAAGTTTAACTTTTAAAAAAACATTTTGGTGGTTTTTCCCCATTTCACCATTTATTATGAAAAAGTACTCTTTGTGATTGGTTTTCGGTCTTTTATATTAAACTGTACATAAATACGTGATGCTGTTTTGGTTGTAATTGTTTAAGCAACTTAATTATATGTGACTTAGAAACTTTGTTTTAAACTAGTGCTGTCAACCTATTAATCGCGATTAATCGCATCCAAAATAAAAGTTTGTGTACTTTTAGTTTGTTGTAAGATATGTATGTGTACTGTTTGTTTATGTATAAATACACACACATGCATGTATATATTTCAGAAAAATGTTGTTTATATATGAAATATATTTATTTATAATATAAATGATATGAATATAAATATAGACATGTAAATATTTTCAAAATATATACATGCATGTGTTTGTATTTACATAAGTATACACAGAACACACATATATTATGCAAACAAAAACATTTACTTTGGATGCGATTAATCGTTTAACAGCACTATTTTAAACATTATGCACTTATTTTATTGCTTTGAAGAAACGTGCGCTAGTAATATTTTGATAATATTTAAGTACAAAATTCGAATTTAGTTTTTCAGCCATTTTGACAGCCCTAAAAAAAAAAAAAAAAAAAAAAAAATTTAAAAAAAAAAAAAAAAAAAAAAAAAAATTTTTTTTTTTTTTTTTTTTTTTTTTTTTATTGATCGAAATCAATAGAACTGGCATAATTTTTCTTATTTTAATTTGTCCCTTAACAACTGTCACTTATATTTAAGAATCAGGATTCTCACAATCTTGGAAAACCTGGAAATATGAGTGAGATTTCCAGACATGGAAAATAAATTAATAAAATCTTGAGAACTCGTGGAAATTTCAATAATGAATATAGGCTGCGTCTTTCTAGTTTTGTCAAGCGTTAAAATATTTTGAATAGAAATTCATGAGAAATTGCCATTACTGAGATATTTAAAATGTATTAATTAATTCACCCCTAAAGATCATTCTGTTCTCTAACTTAATTTCTATAGCACTGTTAAAGGTTTCAGTTCTTCAATCTTCTGAAATTACAGAATTTAAATATGCATTTTTAAATTATTATTATTTTTTTTTAATTATTTTAATTTTAGTATGATTACATTATTGCAAGTAATTTAAATATAAATAATAAAAAAATTTAAGTAATTATTTTATATGCTAAGTTAATAAACCAATATCAGCTAATAGCTGGGATATTAATAATTAACTATATATCTTATTCCTATTTCTCATCTTATAAGAATGATGATCAGATTATTGTTTTAACATTGAGTTTTAATTGTATTATATTACTTAGATCAGTTTGTTTCATCATCAGATTTGGAGAAATGTAGCATAGTATCACTTGCTCAGCAATGGATCCTCTGCAGTGAATGGGTGCCGTCAGAATGAGAGTCCAAACAGCTGATAAAAACATCAAAATAATCCACAAGTAATCCACACCACTTCAGTCCATCAGTTACAGTTGAGGTCAAAAGTTTACAGAATCTGCAAAATGTTAATATTTTACCAAAATAAGAGGGATCATACAAAATGCATGTTACTGTTTATTTAGTACTGACCTGAATAAAATATATTTCACATAAAAGATGTTTACAAGAGAAAAAATGACACCGTTCAAAAGTTTTCATCCCCTTGATTCTTAATACTGTGTTGTTAGCTGAATGATCCACAGCTGTGTTTTTTTTAGTTTAGTTGTTCATGAGTCCCTTGTTTGTCCTGAACAGTTAAAACTTTCTGCTGTTCTTCAGAAAAAACCCCCAGCTCCCACATTCTTTGGTTTTCCAGCATTTTTGTGTATTTGCACCCTTTCCATCAATGACTATATGATTTTGAGATGCATCTTTTCACGCTGAGGACAACTGAGGGACTCATATGCAACTATTACAGAAGGTTCAAACGCTCACTGATGCTCCAGAAGGAATAACCATGCATTAAGAGCCGGGGGGTGAAAACTTTTGAACCGAATGGAGATGTGTGCATTTTTCTTATTTTGTCTTAATATCATATTTTTTCATTTAGTACTGCCTTCAGAGGCTATAGAAGATACTTACATGTTTCCCAGAAGACAAAATAAGTTAAATTTACCCTGATCTTCAAATTCCGAAAGGCTCTTAATGCATGTTTTTTTCCTTCTGGAGCATCAGTGAGCATTTGAACCTTCTCCAATCAATAAAAACTCACATTGCATTCATGTTGTACATTTGATCAGTTCATGCAGTCGCAGGGAATCGAACCCGTGATCTGTGCATGGCAAGATCCACGTTTTATTGGTTTGAGCTGCGCAGTGCATTCAGAGGGAGAGAGTTATTACCTGACTTTTTTTCTGTAATCATTCATTTATTTCTGTGGTTCTCGTCCTCCTGCAGACGACAATCATTTGGGACGCTCAAACAGGTGAAGCCAAGCAGCAGTTTCCATTTCATTCAGGTGAGTTTACAACCTACAGCAGTTCATATGTGAAAACCTGCGTTTGTAAAAGAAAGTATTCATTAAAATATGCCAATGTCAGATTTTACATTTGTTTTCAGATTTATAAACCCGTATGTTGGGCCTACGAAATCCTTTTATTTATTTTTTATTTTTTCCCGGATTCTATTTTTTTCTTCCCCCAATTTGTTTTTTTTACATTGTAATTTAATTTTTGTATGATGTTTTAATGGTTAAATTAAATTTTAGTTTAAAATTCAAAAGTTCAAAAAACATGTCTAATTAATTGAAATGGTTAAGCTTATACAATATATCAATAATTAATTATAAGCTTATCAAAAATGACGATTTTAAGGCTCTATGAAATCAGTTTTGTTTTATTTCCAAATTCTGTTTCTTTTTTTTTTCTTTCTTTTTTTCTATTAAATAATAAATAATTTAATCTTTTTATTAATTCATGTATTTTAGATTAAAATAAATAATTTAAATATAATAAATTAGACTAAAATGTGAAAATTACTTAAATACATATAATTAAAAAAATATAAAATAAGTAAATACATCTAACTGTACTGTACTGGAAATATTTTCCAAATAATAATTTAGGCATATTAATAATATTAGTAATTATATTACAATTTATAATAACAATCTAATCAATAGAATTCATAAATCTGTAACAATTTAATAATGTATTAACATTTTTACAATAACAGAAACCTCCTTTTGAAGATTTTTTTTTTTTTTCAGAAATTCTAAAGTTTGAACTTTTCTGGGATTTAGGATTTAATACAAAATAAACAATGGTAATTAAATGAAGGCATGCAACAGTAACAATTTAATTACTCTCTAACTTTGTTGCAAACAAAGTGCCACACATCTGTGGCTTAGCGTTAGAATTAAAACACGGAAGAAAATTGTGATGCAGTAATATAATTCTGTTATCATTTCTTTATTTTGGCGTGTTGTGGTGAAGATCTTTGACGCTAGTTGATGTGGTGTTTATTAACTCCCGCAGCTCCGGCGCTGGACGTGGACTGGCAGAACAACAGCACCTTCGCCTCCTGCAGCACTGATATGTGCATCCACGTGTGCCGCCTGGGAAGTGAGCGTCCGCTCAAGACCTTTCAAGGGCACACGGTGAGCAGCGCACACTAACTCACGGGCTCAGGCTTTACTGCTCCCCAGCAGCAGATAAACATGTTTGTTTGCTTGCAGAATGAAGTGAACGCCATTAAATGGGATCCGTCTGGAATGCTGCTGGCTTCCTGCTCAGACGACATGACTCTAAAGGTAGGAATCACGTCCCAATATTCTTTAAATATTTATTTTTACTTATGTTTTTAATGGTAATGGCTCCTCCGATTGGTAAAATGCATGATGAAATGTGCATTAAATATGATCAAATTGTGTTCCTCTCACGGCAGATCTGGAGTATGAAGCAGGATTCATGCGTTCACAATCTTGAAGCGCACAATAAAGAGATTTACACCATTAAATGGAGCCCAGCCGGCAGCGGGAGTAGCAATCCCAACGCTAACATGCTGCTAGCCAGGTAACGTCCCTGCTAACCTGCTAACCTGGACCAAGACTGCTAACGTTATCTAATAAATTTGATGATGATAAATTAATTTAAAAAATTATAAATGTATAAAATAAATGACATTAGCTTAGATATACATTTAAAAATTATTACAATTAATTACATTAAAATTAATTAATTAATAAAAAATAGAAAAAATAAATAACAAATAGAAATGAAGTTAAAAAAAATTGATTAGATGTAAATAAATTTAAAGCAAGATTAAAGTGAAGTAAATGAATAAAACTGAAAAAATAAATAAAACATTAAATATATTTTAAATTAGATAAAAATAAAATGATTAAGTCAATGAATAAAAAAAATAATTAAATTAATGAAATTCAGGTTAAAATAAATTAAGAGATTAGATTAAAATAAATTTGATTCAAACAAATAAATAAATAACAATTAGATTAAAATAAATTTGATTCAGACAAATAAATTAATAAATAACAATTAGATTAAAATTACAAAATTAGATGAAATATATTAAAAAGGGTTCAAATAAATTAGAATAAAATGAATAAATATGTAATGTATAATGCAGTGAGATTATATAAACAGAATATAATAAATTTAGATTAAAATGCATTTAAAATAATTTAAATAAATAAAAATTTGATTATTATAATTAAAAAATAAATTAATAAATAATACATTGACTATACAGTACTGTAGTGAGTAGAAAAAAATATTTTTATTTAATTTAAAAAAATTGTAATTATTTAACCTAATAGATTAACTTAGTATTTTCCAAATAATAACCTAAGGCATATTTATAATAATTTTTCAGACAATTGATGCCTTTTACATTTTAGGATGGCAGTCCCTCACATGAGAATATGATCATATTTGGGGATCCGTTAGGTTTGTAATATTAAAAACACTTAATCTAAACCGATTTAAAACCGCTCGTGTCAAGGTAAAAGTCTGAAGTGTTGTATAGGTTGTCTCTCTTTACATGTTTATGAAAAGCTTCTTTGTGTTCCTCAGCGCCTCTTTCGACTCGACGGTGCGATTATGGGATGTGGAGCGAGGCGTTTGCGTCCACACGCTCACCAAACACCAGGAGCCGGTCTACAGCGTGGCCTTCAGTCCGGACGGGAAGTTCCTCGCCAGCGGCTCCTTCGACAAATGCGTTCACATCTGGGACACGCTGGTCAGTACGGCAGCACCTTCACACACAGCTGAGCGTCAGTGTGATGAAGATGATGATGATGTGTGTGTGTTTCTTCAGAGCGGCGCGCTGGTGAACAGCTACAGAGGAACCGGAGGAATCTTTGAGGTTTGCTGGAACAGTGTGGGAGATAAAGTAGGAGCGAGTGCATCAGACGGATCGGTGCGTTCATCCACCTGTTAAAACTGTTCGGAGAATTTGACTGAAACGTCGTTTTCATAAAATATCACCGTGGAAGCTCAACTTATATTTGTCTAAAACTAATTTTTTACGATTGTGAAAAACACTTAATTCAGTCACGCGTCTGTGTCTGAACTTTGGGCTTTAGTTTCAAGGTTATAAAATGTTCAATAAGATAATATTATGTGAAATTAGATTAAATTTCAGGGTTTTTTTGCCTAAAATCAATTATATTATTTATAGACTATTATAGTTTTTATTATTAATTTTAAATTAGTTTTATTTTATATTTCAGTGTTTATTTTAATTTAAGTTACATTTTTAGTAATTGTTATGTGCTATTGCAATTTTTATTAGTTTTTGGTTTCATTTTTAGGTTGTTTAATTTTTATTTCACATTTTGTTTTTAGTTTTTAATTCAGCTTTATTGTCGATTCATAATTTTAGTGCTTCAACTTAATAAATATTTTGGTTTATTTTAGTTTTAGTTTTTCTTTATTTCCATTTAGTAATTTGTTTTTCCAACTTATTTAAGTTTTCAATTTCTAGTTTATTTAATAATAATTTTTCATCTAATATTTAAGATATTTTAGGTTTTTAGATTAATTTATTTTTATTTCACGTTTAGTTTTATTGTCGATTCATAATTTTAGTGCTTCAACTTAAATATTTAGGTTTTATTTTTTTAATTTTTTTTTACTTTTAGTTTTTCTTTATTCCCATTTAGTAATTTGTGCTTCAACTTATTTCAGTTATATTCATCTAATATTTAAGATATTTTAGGTTATTTAGATTTAGTTTATTTTTATTTCACGTTTAGTTCGAATTCAGTTTTAGTTTATTTATTTCCAGATAGTCATTTTAGAGCTTTAACTAAATAAAACATTTAAAATGTTGCCTTGGCTAACTAACTGAAATAATAATTTTAAGTTTTTCATCTAACATTAGGGTTTATTTAAGGTTATTTTGTTTCTTTTTTGTTTTTGTTATTTAAATTCAGTTTTATTTTTTTGCACATTTTGCACATGCCCTTCCCATTTGCACTGTTGTGGTCATTGGCCATATATAAATATATTATGGTCATATATAAACATATGCTATTTACATACCTCACTGTATAATGCAACTTCTGTTTATACTTCCTTTGCACCTTATGTTGTATTTACAGTCATTTGCATTGAGCTGGTCTCTGCCCTTCTACCTCAGAACTTGCACTATATGTCCTAAACCTTAATGTATATACATATATTTTATTTGTATTTATATACTTTATTTGTACTTCTGGTTAGATGCTAACTCCATTTCATTGGCTCTGTACTTGTGCTCATTAGTAAAAAAAAACATAAATTCAGTTAGTTGCATTTTTATTTAGTTTACATTTTTCATCTAATATTAAGGTTTATTTATTTATTTATTTAACGTTTTTAATTTCCAGCTTTGTTTCGATGCACAAAAATCTCTCTTAACAGTTTTAGTTGATGATAATATAATAACCCTGTTTAAACATCGTCTTGTTTTTCCAGGTCTGTGTTCTTGATTTACGGAAATAGCTCTCGGTGAGTCCGGATGCAGGATCGTGCAGCTAAAGCCTTCAGCGGCTGCTGGTTGTGACCGAACTCGTTTCTTCTGTTTCTTCCGGTCGACTGAGACCCGCAGCTTCACCGGGAACAGAATCCAAATGTTGAAAACCAAATTAGAGGAAGGTCTCGGTCGATGAAGTGGACGCCAAAGAGCTGGAGACGCTTCATTGGAAAGGTTTTATTGGGTGTTTTGGACGCCACTGACATTCATTGGGCCATTTGACCCTTCATAAGTGAAGTCTGACCATAAGAAAACATATTTTTAATGGAGAACAAACTTCAAATCAAGACGAGTTTTCCTTTGCAGGAGAACCATAAATAGTTCTGATTGTTTTCCAACTTTAAAGAGGGATGAAGACGTCAGCTGCCGAGTACTTGGGAAATATCTTAAGATTCTCCGATATTAAATATACAGGTGTAAAACCTCCCCACTGGATGTACATTTAATGAATGTAAAGATGTAAATGAGATCGTAACACGCAGATTTTATAAACTGTTTATATGTTTATAAACTAATCTTTTTCCCAAAAGTCTTTCACACTTCTATGTTGTTGTTTTTTCTGATTCTGTGCACATCGTGCCTGCTGGATCTCCGCAGGAAGCCCAGTGGTTTTGAAGAAATCGATCATATGAGGATTTGAGCCTCTAAATATCGTATCGCAAGTTTTGGGCCGCGTTTGAATTCTCCGCGTCACGGTCGAGTCCTAATCGGGTGCGATTTGATAAAACGAGAAGTAATGAAAGCGCTCTCCTCCATGCAAATCTGAATTTTGTTTTATTTTGTTGATCACTTGGTTGTTTCTTTTATGTGGCGTTGTGCTGGGAAGCCCCGCCCACCTTGAAATTTCATTGGTCCAAAATCCTAATTTGCATTAAACGTATTCAATTTCAATGTGGACAGGCTAATTACTGAAACTCGAATATATGGAGACAATGCGGACAAAAATATACATTTATCGTGGCTAGGGTTGCAAAAAGGTGGAACATTTTCTGAAACTTTCCAGGATTTTTTTGAATATTCCAGGGATTTTTGGAAAGTTTCCGGAAATTTACAGGAAATTTTCCACCTTTTTGCAACTCTAATCGTGGCCAGGGATTAAGAATTTCTATGATTGATCATTCGTTCCTTTAATTTAGTGAAATTCTTTTAGTAAAATCGTTTCCATGAATTAGGGAATTTGTTCCCTTGTTTTAATAAATCGTGGCCATGTTGTACTAATGTACTTGATTTAATTAATTCGAGGGAACAAATTAGTATGACCTAGACACGATTTACTAAAAGAGGGGAACGAATTCTTAATTCGTAACTGCGATTTACGAGTAAACTAATTTGAATGACGTCGCCACGATTTACTAAAACAATTTGAGTTGTGGCCTCAAATTTATTAAAATGAGGAAACAAATTTTTTATTTGTGGCCAAAATTTACAAAAATTAGGGAACAATTTCTTAATTTGTCGTCATAGTTTTATTAAAACGAGAACAAATGAGTACGACAATTCTTGGCCACGATTTACTAAAACAAGGGAACGAACTCTAAATTCATGGCCTTGATTTAATTAGAACGAGGGAAGGAATTTGTACGAATGAAGAATTCGTTCCTTCGTTTTAGTAAACATGGCCACAAATGTATTAAAACGATTGAACGAATTAGTACGCCGTGGCCGGAGTTTACTATTAAAACGAGGGAACGAATTCTTAATTCACAGCCACAATTTAATTAAAACAAGGGAGCGAATTAGTACAACGTTTTGTTGCCACGATTTACTAAAATGAGGAAACCAATTATTACGATGTGGCCACGGTTTACAAAAAAGACGGAAGGGATTCTTAATTCATGGCAATTTATTTAAAAGGATGGACGAATTCTACATTTGTGGCTGCGATTTTAATTAAAATGAGGAAACGAATATGTACAACGTGGCCACAAATAACTAAAACTACATAGGAATTATAAATTCATGTCCATGATTTAATTTAAACGAGGGAAATAATTTGTACGAATTAAGAATTAGTTTCCTCGCTTTAGTAAATTGTCGCCACAAATTTGTTAAAATGATTGAACGATTAGTACGATGTGGCTACGATTAACTAAAACGAGGGAACGAATTCTAAATTCATTTCCACGATTTGATTAAAATGACGGAAGGAATTTGTACAACCTTTCATGGCAACAATTTACTAAAACGAGGAATCGAATTCTAAATTCATGGCCTCGAATTTGTTAAAATGAAGGAACGAATTAGTATGACGTTTCATGGCCATGCTTTACTAAAATTCTTAATTTGTTGACGCAATTTATTTAAAACGAGGGAACGAATTCTTAATTTGTGGCTGCGATTTAAACCGAGGGAACAAATTAGTATGTTGCCATGATTTACTAAAATGCCGTAAGGAATTCTAAATTCATGGCTAAATTAAAACTAGAGACGAATTTGTACATTTACATGGCCACAAATTAATTGAAATGAGAGCGTTAATTATCGTGCGGAGCTTCGATAAGGTCGTAAGGATGCGATCAGTCGTCATTCTATCTTTACAAAGTTTTTTTTTTTTTTTTTTTTTTGTCCTTCCACACTGAAAGTGAAACCTGCCAATCAAATATGTTGACCAATGAGGTTTCAGCGTGGGCGGAGCTTCTCAGCACAACACTGCTGAAATAGAAACCAAGCAACCATCAAAGTCTCATCATCAGATTTAAGATGAGATGGTGAATTTACGTTAAACGGAGACACACTTTGTTATCGGATGAACCCTAGTTTATCGCTTAATCGCGTCTCGTCTGAGTTAGGTGCATTTTCAGCGGACACGTGGTTAATGTTACGTGTTTTTCTAACACTGTTTATCGTATGTCCGTCTACTGAGCTTTGTGTTTGGTGACCAGGTTCGATCAGGAACTGATTGGTTAGTCCTGCTGTAAACTTTAAGCAGTGATCGATGTCTTCGCTATTTAACCGCGACTGGTCCAGCGTTAATTTCGTACAGTACGTACTGCACCGTCGTGTGCTTTTGACAATGGACGTTTCTTTTTTTTATCAATAAAACCAATTCTAGTGGGTTTTAATGTTTTTTGTTTTTTTTTTTAAATGCATGGAAAGCGTTGCATTTCTGCGTGCCGTGGGTTTCCGGAAACCCTTATCGTCTGTGTCAGACTGAGAATTGCGTCGCGATCTTGGCACATCGAGAGATGCATGTTCTGGCGTGTGTCTGACCTGCTGCCAAGTATAACGTTTAGATCTGTTTCGTGGACAAAACTGAATCTCAATGTCTTGCATTCAGAGGCTCAAATAAATCACTCTATTTTGATATTATAATCAGTCGTGTTTGATTCCTCTTGCATGTGAAACTCCATGACAGAAATGTTGGAATAATTGTCAAAAATTTGGAATAATTAAATGTTTTAATATTTTTGAAAGAGTCACCTGTGTTCACCAAGGCTGCATTTATTTTGTCAAAAATACAGTAAAAATTGTGGAATATTATTAGAATTGTAAAATAGCCGCTTTTTTGTGAGAATGTTAAAACGGCATTTATTTGAAATCTTTTGTAGCATTATACATGTCTTGACTGTTACTTTTGATTAGTTTAATTCATTATGGATCAATAAAAGTGTTATTTTTAATATTTTTGTATGAGTTTTCAAAGATGCTGAAAATTCAGCTTTGCATCACACAAATAAATTACACTTAAAAACGTTAACATGGGAAAACTCTTATTTCAAATTATAACGTTTCACAATTGTTACCGTTTGTGATCAAATAAATGCAGTCTTTTGTATGCAGAAAAGACTTGATTTAAAAACACCAAAAATCTAAACTATTCCAAACTTTTGTTTTTACCTTTAGAGTGCGTTATGTTTTTGGCCAAAGTGGTCAAATATTCATTTTGGTCTCTAAATAATGAATTAATTTGTGCCACATTCAGTCAATGTCAACCTACCAATTAAACCAAAAAATGACACGCTTCATCTTTAATGAGAGCATTAAATGAAGTATGTTTAATAAGTATAATTTAATTCCGTATAAAACAAGCTACATGTCTACACAATCTCTATGTGCTGTATGATAGTGCATTTTTACAGTGTGATCCTTTGGTAAATGACATTTTAAAGACCAATTATATTTGCACTTTTGATTCAAATCAAAGTTTCGTGCTGAATTATGTGTCGTTTCAGAGAAACCTTCAACAGCACAAACAGGCCAGGAGACAGAAGTGATTGATTGATTGTAGAAATGCATGAAGGCTTGTTTTGTCTTTGTGAGTCAGAAGTTGGAGAGCATGAGAGAGCGTGTTTGAGGCCGGCGGCACGTTCAGCCTGAAGAAATCTCCAGTGATGCTCCGTTTGGCTTCACATCCTCAAACTCTCGCTGCTCACTGGATATGTGGATTTCTACTGTACTAGACTCTGAATCTATGAGATGAGATAGAGAAGACTAGTTAATTTCATCCCTGATGTTGCATTTTTAATGCTGTTTATATATTTAGAAATTAAGGTTTATACACCACCTAAAAGCATAATAAATAAGCTTTCCATTGATGTATGGTTTGTTAGGATCGGACAATATTTTGCTGAGATACAACTATTTGAAAATCTGGAATCTGAGGGTGCAAAAAAATCTAAATATTGAGAAAATCATCTTTAAAGTTGTTCAAATGAAGTTCTTAGCAATGCATATTACTAATCAAACATTAAGTTTTGATATATTTACGGTAGGACATTTACTAAATATCTTCATGGAACATGATCTTTACTTAATATCCTAATGATTTTTGGCATAAAAGAGAAATGTATAATTTTGACCCATACAATGTATTGTTGGCTATTGCTACAAATATCCCCCAGCGACTTAACACTGCTTTTGTGCTCCAGGGACACATATATATACATGTATATAAAATACAGTGGCTCTTAACTGTTTGTGCTTTATTACATCGACTAAAAAGGAGAATCTAATGCATGAACAACATCAGATGTGGTTTAGCAGTCAAACCCAGAGGAACAAAAATAATAATGCTATTTTGTCAAACTACACAGCTAAGACCAATTGTTATTGAGTATGTATATATCTTATTTTCCAATTAAAAATCTCCAAATTGCATTTACTTGAGCAGCATCACTCTATTAGATATCAAGACCTTTCATAATTGTGTCTTGAATATTGAGTGTATTTTGGCAGATGTTTTTGCATGCAAGTATAAACACATTTATAACAAGTGACAAAACACACTTGTATACAAGATACAGTCCATAAAAGCAATTCATAATATCTTATAAAGTGTTTCTTGTCAAGTAAGTTTATCATTTTAATGAAATTTAGATATTTTAAATGGGAAAATAATTAATTTGTGACAACAACAGGATAATATGGGATGTATTTCTCCTCCTGTGTGTAAGTCGATTTATTGTGCTATCCTGTGTATGTTTATATGGTTAGTAGTGTTTATTATTTGCATTTAATTTAGTTTCTTCCTGTAGAACAGATCCAAGATTCACCGGCTGAATCATATGAAATATAGATTATCAGAGCAGTATATATTATACATATGTACATTTATTATTTAGTATTTACACTAGTGGTCGAAAGTCTGGAATATTTTTAAGATTAATATATGCAATATATTTATATATGTAAGGTATATTTAAGATTTTTTTTTTGTGCATTTGAAAGATGTCTCTTTTGCTCACCAAGGCTGCATTTATTTAATCGAAAACACAGTTGAATTTGTGAAATATTATAAATAATAATATATATTATTATTATTAGCCTAAATAAGCTGATGAAATACACAATTACTGTAACTGTGAATGTAAGCTGGCTAACTACCTTACAAAAAATAACCATAGCCTATGGTTTTACTATTAAAATGTATTAATACATTTATTATATAAAAAATAAATAGAAACAAAAATGGTTAGTTTAGTTAAACCACGGTAACCATGCACAAAATTAACCATTGATTTATTACACTAACCAT